AAAGCAGCGTCTAATACACATAATCTAATACTTGAATGGAACGAGATGTTGTTGTGCATTCAGAATCGGTCCAGTGAATTAAACTGAACCGAATTAATAAAGAATGGATTATTAAATATAATAATATAAAAATGAATTTTAAGTTCTACTGGAAATTACTAGAAAAATATTTTGGAAGGCATAAAATGTAGATTCCAAGTCCTAAATTTTAAAATAATATTATCTATACCAAAATTTAAAATATTTTTATTTCAAAAATTTTAAAAATTAGAGAAAATATTTTGGAAGACATTGTATCATATATTTCAAATATCATTTTGAGTTGTCAAAATAGTATGGAGCTTTTTTCTTCCCCAAAATGTTTATCTATCTTATTTTATGGTCATTTTAATAATTTGAAGTATTATTCTAAGTTGACACTATAAAATATTTGAAATTCAGGTTGCTATGAATTTTTAATTATTTTATGCTAGTATTTAAATATTATTTCTCAAAATTATCTTTTTTTATATTTTACTAAATATGTCTAATAAAAAAGCCGCCCATTTTTTGAGGGATAAAATTGAAGAAACAATAAGAAAAAAAGTTCTGTTGAAAAAAAAAAAACAAAAAACTCCAATTATTTTTTTTTTCTGGAAATTTACCAAATAATATTTCTTATATTTATGAGAAATTAATGAAGTTTAGTCTGCAACTGAGGAGGAGCCCAACGTGTCCAATGATTTGTGTATCGGAATCATCTCCAACCTGTGGATGTCCTCTTTGGGATAAAAAGTGAAAGCAAAGTAAGTAAAACTCACAATGTTATCTATCATCTGCAGTCGAGTTTTCATGTAAAGAGGAGCTCATCGCCTCCTTTATTGCCAGCAGTTTGATCATGTTGTCTGCCACAAGAATAAAGCATTCACATGCCGGCGACCACAGCTACGTACTTCCCACTCCCCTCCATTGCTTTCACCTCTCCACGTTATTATTATTGATTGGAATAAAAACTTCTTCTTCAACTATTATTTTCTTACCATCTAATAATAATCCATTTGAATACCAAAAAGTCTAAAATATTTTCAACTAATTATTTATAAATTAAAAACATTACGAGTCCTTCGTATATTTGTTTAACGATCTGAGATTTGACTAATGAAAATGAATCGAATTGATGTCGAATCTGATTCCGATAAACATAGGTTAGATTGGAAGAGCAACAGGTGATGGTGTCAGGCGAAACATCTCCCATGTCGGCAGCATGTGACGCCCCAGTGGTTTAGCTTTGTGTCATTTGATTCTTTCGAGCTCTAATGTGTATCTTCCTGCTCCCGAGCAGATCAATAGAGAGAGAGAGAGAGAGGTGAGTGCTATGTGCACGCGTGGGTGGGAAGACCGAGGAGGTACTGACCCACCTGTGGCAGTGGATCCACGTGCGATGTGAGAGATGGTGGGGAACTCTGTCCTCCGGCCTCCGGCCTCCGGCAACTCTGAGAGAGAGAGAGAGAGAGAGAGAGAGGGGACCATTGTGTATGTATCAGAGTCGTCAGCCCCCACCCACACGTGCTCCTCTGCTGGTCTCCACCATTTCTGAGCTCATCAAAAATTTGGAGGCCCCATCGCACCTTTACTCGTACGTCAACGAATCCGAGATCGCGTCGCCATGGCAGCACTGTGGCGATCCGATCCGCTGCTCGTTGCATAACGTTGCAGCGTCTGGCACATCGGTACATGTTGATGCGATCCGTCTTCAACTTCATTGAATGAGAAGGAAAAGAGAAGCTGAATCCCAGACTCCCCCCGACTGCTGCAGTAAACTTTAGGAGAGACGCTTCTGTGCATGTTGCAGGATCCAACTTTTCACCTGTGATTCGTTTCCACCCTCATTGAATGAGGACTTCAGCTGCAAACCCATTGAAGATGTGCATGAAGACCTGCGATCGAATCCCTCCAACATTTTACCCAGGGGAAGGAAGCTTTAACAGCGGAGACAGGTTGAGATCTTGATCCGTCAAACCTCTAGATGATGATCTAACACCAAAAATAGTCGGGTAGATCGAGCAGAGATAGAACACCAGATCTGGAATCCTTGGCACAAGTCAAGAAGACAAATGGATAGGATCATGAGTTGCAGACATCACGTTTTATGTGATCAGATGTTGTGCTTGGCATTCTTGGCTTCACGGCAGTATCAACAAGTTCTTTGTATAAGGACAAAGAAACTAGTAATCTTTCCGTTTGGAGAGACCAAGTATTGGCTGAGGGTGAAGAACACAAGCATCAAACAACATGAAATATGTCCCAAAACACAAACTCCCACTTGCTGAAGAAATGGAAGAGAAAAATCCCACCAAACACATCCAAACCAGTGCTCAAACAGTTGTTTAGGGGAAACGAGAAGGGACAGCAACCTCAAAAAGAAACAAGGATGATGAGCGAAATACTAATACTAAGCAAGACACGCATGGCAAGTCACAAGAAAAGATGAATACACTAACATTGTCTCATGATGTATAGAGATATATATGTCCAATATGTTTATGTGAGGACCTGCATGTCATGTGAGCAAAGCTGGTGCACAGATCAAGCAGTACATAGACTATCGAGTTTCTCCGCGCTCTCTCCAGCACATCAGCATCATGATGCATCGCCGAAGTATGTAGAACCTGGCCTTCTGCTCTTTGGCCTGCAGCCGACACCGACGGCCGAAGGATCGGCAAGGCAAGCTCTCTTCCTCCTTGGCCATTACAGCCTCTCCTGCTTCCGCCAGCTTCTCCTCCTCCTCGGTCTATCTGTAACTTGAGCTCAGAAGAGTCGAAGGAGACGAGCAAGACGACGACTCTATTTTGTAGCTCCTACTGTTTGCTACTCTTTTTGGATTTTAGATGTCATACCTTAAATTATGACTCGGTAGCTTCTTTATCATGCTGCTGCTGGTGGTGGGAGTCCTCTGCATGATTACGCGCTCTCTCTCTCTCTCCATCTGCCGTACTGTTCAGAGCTTGTAAGAGGGGAGTAAATGGGAAGGTGGTACTCCTTTCATCACATCCATACTCATTAATCCAGAAAGTGGAAGCCCAAATGATGAGCTCGGCCCTTGTTCAAGGCCTGCTTCTGCTGTTGTCCCTTGAGCTTGGACTACAACCTCGGTGTCCCAGTCCGACCAAACAAGCAAACGAAACCTAATCCACCACCTGCGAGTTCTTTTGCAGACTCGATCTACCACTCCAGCTATGGACGAAGCTAACAGGGATGCACATCCGTGACATAGGTCAAGCTCCCCACCGACGCGTACGTGTTGGCGAAAGGAGTGATCACAAGTGGCAGCTGCGAGGTTGAAAGCTTGAAGCAGTACTCCACAGCAAAACCAGGACGTGAATGGTGTGGAGGATCACGGTGAGACGACGGTCACCACACGTAAACTTGGAGCGGCTACTGCGGCAGTACGATAACTTATCTCGTGACTCTCGCAATCATCCATTGCTCCCAAAGGTAGGAAATGCCCAAAGCTGGTGCCTCCTCTTCCCTGCTCCCACTTGCAAATCAACACCAGTACAACGATAATTGCAGGCAAGAAAGCAAATTGGCACCACTACAAGTGAAGCACTGTCTGTGGTCCAGGCCAAAGACCACAATCTCAAAGCACAAGAATTCGCTACAGCAGCTAGCAGATGGTGGTGCTTTGGGTTGTGGGTTCCAGAGTTGTGCCTCAAAGCATCGTTTCGTGTGACCAGGCTCGTCACCATCCCTCCTCCATCAACCCAAAAGCATAGACACGAGTTGCGCTTATAGGGACGAGTCACTGGCTGTACGATCCTGGATCTTTCTGTAACAACATGCAACGGCCATTCATGGCTTGTTGCGATCCTGTGGACATGTCCAAAGCTCCCTATTAATGCTTGTTTTGCATATCACGGCTGACGCAACAAATAGTGCAACTAGCAAATGTGGATGGCCTTTCTTTCACCACCTGGAGCGAGCATGAGTACAATGTGAAATCTAAGTTCAGGATTCAAAAAGGAGAGGGAGGGAAAAGAGAGAACAGGACGGCTCTCTTATCAACCCCTGATCACCTTCATGACTTGCCATGCGCCTCCTCCTCTTCCTCCTCCTCCTTATCCACCAGCCTCCTCAATTTCTGTAAACAGACTGGAATTAAAGAGGATACGAGCTTTGTCCCCTTTGCAGAAGTTTCCTTAGAGTCTATTCAAGAGATTCTTCGCGCTGCATTAGTTCATCTCTCTGGCTTTTGCTTAACTCGAACCTTTGGCTGGAGAAAAAGGAGAGTCTGCGTGGGATACGTGAATGGATCAAACAGCCAGGCTCTTCATTCAAAGAGGTGTTTGGTTGCATCTCACACCATGTGGTCGATATATATGAATGAGCTAACCGAGAGGCATCCATGTATAGCATCTACCACGGTCAGATTACAAAATATGAAGCCTCATGCTACGGAGCACAGCAGAGGACAACTCGATCAAGATCAATCTGATTACAACCTATGCAGCAGAAGCTCACAAGCCTTTCGAATCCACAGTCACTGTTGATATCTTCTTCCTATGGCTCACTTGGCTTCCTTGCTCTCCTGCACAGTGACCATCACATCCTGTTAAATCCTTGGATCCCATGCTGCACCACCCTTCCGACATCTCAACTTTTAGTGCCTTTAGTTTGGGACTTCAGCAAACCACAATCCCATTATGTTTTCTGGTACACTGTCAACAAAACCTGCGCAGACTTTTGCAGCAAAGTCTCCATGCAAACATCATGATGATGATAAAAGTGGTGTTGAATGTTCATCGTGTGGGTCCCGCAAAACTATTTTTTTTATGACGGTGCAATAATTAGGAATAAATTGTTATAATAAGTTTGCGCAAGCCATTTTATTTTATTAAAATCTCAACTTAAGCATGGAGTATGAGTTCGATAGGATTAAATGAGTCTAATATCATTAATTGGGGTGTTTTGAGCTATATAATATCAAGAGTTCATAAAAATAATTACTGTAATTATTGATGTGAGAAAACTGATATTTGAAATATACATCTAAACTAAAGTGGGAAAACTAGTGTTGAAAGTGATATTTTGGATATCAAGAAAAGAGAGTGTACAATTTAAATAAAGGGTGAATTTTTTAAGAAACCCTAAAGTTTAGAAAATTTTCAAAATGGCCTTAAGTTTGAAAAATTTTCACATAGAAAATTTTTTGAGAGATAGTTTGGATTTTTTTTTAAATTAGAGATATTGTTTGAAAAAATAAAATAAGAATACCATTCAGAAAATACCTAAAATATGATGATACTCATGTGAGAGCACATGAGTGTGTGTGTGTGTGTGTGTGTGTGACCATAGAAAATCTTTTAATTAATCCATTTTAGTTAAACTCTATTAATTCTGGCCGTAGTGAGGTTAAAATTTCAACAGAGTTTAATATATTTTTAAAATAATTGTATATATCCCTCCATGATTAGTAATTTTCATATTTACCTTTATAAATTTATATTTAGGAATAAAAATCAAAATAATTTATAAAAGTGACAGATAAAAAATCAGTTATCTAAAATATTTATTTTTTTAAAAATTATTATTAACTATGATTAGTAGTGATTAACTCAAATTTATTGGACGGATGTTAATGGATGACATATATATATATATATATAATATTTGAATTAATATGTAGATATAAATATGTTAAATTAAAATTTGGACAGCCTAATATGCTGTATTGGACGGTTGAGAGGAATGGATCAAAATAGGAGTAAGAGATAGCGCAGGCACGTGGACATGGACGTGGGCGGGTTCCGTTGAGAGGAGATGATGGCGATACCATCGTACCCGCGACATGAACCCACAGCTAAGCATCTCCCCGTCACATCTTTCTTTGCTCAACCTCATTTCTGGCCTCTTTCTTTAGTTACACTTCGCTCCTACCTGACCTTTAATTCGATGATAAAACCGGGTCCCACATTTTTCACCATTTGTGACGCAGGTAGAACAAACAGGCGACCCAGTGTTGGGTGGCAAAGTTATCTCTCATTTTTATTATCTTCCGTTCCTGTGACGATAAAACCCACTCCCCAGAGGTAAAAGCTAACCCACATAGGCTTCTCTCTCTCTGTCTCTCTCTCTCTCTCTCTCGCTCTGTGTTTCGGCTTCCTCCGTCTGCTCTTGGATTGGGTTTCAGGTTGTGTGAGTCCAAATTCGATCATGTTGTAATCTTCTTCCTGCTTTGGCCTGCAACATATGGTTTCCTTTTATATGTGAAGCTCTCTTTTTAGACCGACTCCCTTCTGACTGAGCAAAACGGAAGATGGATATGATTCAACAGAACCAAATTTCTCGTCTTCTTCTCCGTTCTCGTCGTCTATGACGACGTTTCGGGTAGCATGACTGTTGGAGTTCATGTAGATGGATATCGAGGTTTTAGCTGTGGTGCTCGATCGCTGTTGCAGATCCTGCTTACTTCTTTCTTCTGTTCTTTTCTTGGGTTCATTTTGATCCAAATCTAGATGCCGTTCGGACATTGCTGTCCTCTCCACACACTCACAAACCTCTCTCTCTCCTCCTACGATGCCTTCTTTGTTGGGTCTGCCACCCTGCTCATTGTCTCTTTCATCCGTGCTTTCTTCTAAGGATCTTTGGTGGTTTATCACAGTCGATGTTTGCGGGTGTAGCATCATCAAGATTCACATGAGTCGGGCGGCCGCGTTACGATTGCAAGTGAGAATCTTGATGATGCTGCATCGGCAATAAGCGACTAATGGCAAGCAAAATGCCGAGGCTGGATGCTGCGATCCACTCGTTGGAGTACGGTAACACGACAGGCCATGAATTATTTTGCTTGTTCTTTACTGCCAGTTTTGGTCTTAATGCACTGTTCTAAGATCTTCATTATCTTTTCCGACAATGATGGGTTGGTATGCAAAAAAAACAGATTGCCTGAGATTGATCTCGAGCTCATGTTCAGGTTTTCTTTTGCTTCACTTTTACATGCAAGCATTGCTACATATTAGTCCTCACAGATGTTAATTTTCAGCCTTACAGTCTGGAAGAGATGGCAGGACATATTGCAGTAAGCATACGATCAAAAACCTTTTTGTTGTATGGCTTTTCTTTTGACATCCAACAACATATTCTCTAACACCTCACCGCATAATTTACAAATAAACTTTATGCGGAAATAAATTGTCTTCAGATCAATCAAGAAATTTGGATTAGCATCGGATAAGTTTGCAGCAATTTCACTAACATGAAGATTTTAGTTGTTATTTGGTATGTTTGGTGTGGTTGTGAGAACTTAAAGAGTATAAAGCTTTTGAGTATCTTTGTAAGACCAAATTCTACTGATTTCATGGAATAAGACTTACTGTTCAGGATTTTGTTCTTAGAAATCTAAAAGAGTTTGTCTGATCTTGTTTTACACTGCTTTCATGCTCCTTGTGATATCTCCAGTAGTTCCATGTCATAGTATTAAGATGATTTTTGAGTCAATACCGAACAACGTTTCTTGAGGTATGACATCCCACTGCTCTTAAATATGAGTCAAAAACATACATAGTGATATCCTTTTTTTGGAGCAAAATCTATGTTATCCATCAAATTTCTTGACCTGCCATTCATAAGATGTGTTGATCACATCGTTAAATTCAGATAGGTTACAAGCATCTTAAACTCCTTTAATAAGCTTGATTTAGATATAACACTTGTCGTATCTCTTCTCTCTAAAAACAAGCGATGCAAGCATAGAATTTTTGTCAGCAAACCGCCATTGGAGATGCCTGAATTGTAGTGAGTACAACTTTAAAGGCACAGACTGATGTTTAAAACCATTATCATGCAGGTGGACCTGTTTTTGGATACATCTTGCAAGTGGTTAGCTTCAGTGAGGACAGTTCACAGAGACATCAGTCACTGAAATGTCTGCAAATTGACCCCTTTCCTGATCACTTATCAGAAATGTACCAGGCTCTCACATGCTAATTAGTAGATCAGCATCTATACGACACCCATCCCATAAGGTATTCAGTCCATCCTCTCCACACAAACTCACTCTACATACTCTAATGTCTTCCTTCATACACTCTTTCTCTCAAATTCACATGACATCTGCAGCATGCTGCATGCAGGTACACCTGCAATACACAGGTACAAACACCTCTGAAACAGTAGGTGTTCTTGCATCTCATAGCAAATAGCAATAGGAACAGTGGCTTGGCATGGCTTTCCTCATCTTTCCATAAATGTTGTGTTGACATAGCTTGCTAGAATAAATATTCTTTTTATGCTCCAGTTTGTGCTGTATGTTTAAGGAACTTTGTCATATCAAACTCGCAGAGAAAAAGATATCGATACAGTCGTCTGAATTAAT